TGACTTAGTGGAGATAATCGTATGTTTACAGGGTACCAGACAAGCCCGTGTCCCACACGTTTAGGTACTACGGGCTTCCTTGTTAGTTTACACCAGCCTTAGTGGAGATAATCGTATGTATTACAGGGTACGAGTAGCCCGTGTCCCACACGTTTAGGTACTACGGGCTTCCTTGTTAGTTTACAACAGTCTTTGAGTTAGTGGAGATAATCGTATGTTTACAGGGTACCAGGCAAGCCCGTGTCCCACACGTTTAGGTACTACGGGATTCCTTGTTAGTTTACAACAGTCTTAGTGGAGATAACCGTATGTATTACAGGGTACGAGTAGCCCGTGTCCCACACGTTTAGGGACTACGGGCTTCCTTGTTAGTTTACAACAGTCTTAGTTGAGATAACCGTATGTATTACAGGGTACGAGAAGCCCGGGTCCCACACGTTTAGGTACTACGGGCTTCCTTGTTAGTTTACAACAGTCTTAGACTTAGTGGAGATAATCGTATGTTTTTCAGGGTACGAGTGGCCTCCTGTACGGCCGGTGGATGTTCGGAATCAGAATGGAGTGCAGCCGTCAAAACAGGTATTTAAATCAAATGACAAATTTACATTTCATTTTTCAATTTTAAAGAATGAATTATAATATATGGCTTGCTCATGTTCTTCAACCTTAAATCTTTAATGATTACAACCGTGTTTATTTTTAGAACCAAACTTGGTGCCGTCCATCGTAGGGGGAGTGGTTGGGGCATTGATCGCCGTCGCTATATTTCTGGCTGTGATGTTTGTACTACGTAGACGGTCTTTGCTGTAAGTATAAGTCTTTAATGTTTAATTATAGCAATTCTTACGGTTGTCAGATATATCCAGTTATTTATTTATCAGCATAAGGTTGAGATTGTACTTTTCCTTTTTATGAAAGAAGGTGAACTATGTACCTGATCTGTGAATCTCATATCAGGTACATTAAGTGGTTCTGGTCGTTTTGTTGGAGTAATTTCGAAAGGTTCTTGTATTTCTATCGATATCTGATATTCCTCTTCTTCATATTCACGTCGTTTGCTATTTCCCTCCCCTTATTAGAGTTAGGTCTATACAAATGACTTGTTTACCATTTTTGTTGACCTTCAAACTTTCCTTTTTATGGACATTATAGTTATTTTCGTTGTCTCCTCAGTTCATTCAATTTGAGCCACACATTTGTTCATGTATGTTGAAGCCGGTAGTGTTTTCTCACTGTCTATTATATATACTAGTATATATAAAGCAAAGTTTAATTTCTTTTTTTTTTAAAATATAGATGCTTCAGGACAGACAAAGAGAGTGGATTTACGGAATTATCTGGAAAGACCAACATTGGTTACCGAGGGGATTCTACGGAGATGGTAGTCGTAAAAGCAAGGTTAGTCAGTCACGTCTAAGGCAGTGTCTACACTAAACATGTAATTAGGGTACGTGTTAATGGTCT